ACAACCACACCAACTACAACTACCACTACACCTACTACAACTACGACTACAACCACACCCACAACGACGACAACACCAACTACGACTAAAGCGACATTCATTCTAAAACCAAAGAAAACAACTAAACCCAATGTAAAGTAAGTCTTATTTTCACTGTAACTTTATTTCACAATATATCTATTTTCTTCTCTCCCCCTCTCTCTATCCATTTGTATGTCTCTATCTTTGCAGCTATGTATCTATCTATGTATCTCTCTCTCTCTCTCTCTCTCCCTATCTCTCTCTCTCCTCCTCCCCCCCTCTCTCTCTCTCTCTCTCCTCCCCCCCCTCTCTCTCTCTTCTCTCTCTCTCTCTCTCTCTCTCTCTCTCTCTCTCTCTCTCTCTCTTCCTCTCTCTCTCTCTCTCTCTCTCTCTCTCTCTTTCTACCTTTCCCTCCTTCCCTTTCTCTATCTATCTATCTTCCCTCTACTGATTGCCTTGTAATTAGATTCTGTTTACTTATCGACATAAAAAAAAATCAGATAAAAACTCGTACAAAAAAATTACGCCTATTTTGTGATTTTAATGATAACAATATATTTTTTTTTCAGCTGTCGAAAATTATGTTTCAGCGAGACAGGAGAAAGCTTTTGTTGCGATTCAGGTAAAAGCATGTGTGTGTGTTTGTGCTTGTTTGTTTGTGTGTTTGTGTTGTTTGTTTGTATGTTTGTTGTGTGTGTATGTGTGTTTGGGTGTTTTTGTTTATTTGTTTCTTTGTATGTGAGTGTTTGTGTGTGTGTGTGTGTATTTGTGTGTTTTGTATGTGTGTTTGTGTTGTTTTTGTTGTGTGTGTGTTGTGGTGTTTGTGTGTGTGTGTGTGTGAGTTCGCGTGTGTATGCATTTTTATAGTAATAACAATAATGATAATAATAATAGCATCGATAATAGTTCTAACATTGAAAATGATAATGTTTATACTGGTGATTATGGTACTACTGCTACTACTAATAATAACAATAATGATAGTAATAATGATAACAACTATAATGATAAGTAACATAATGATGATGATGATAATGATAACATTAATAATGATAATAATGACGAGAATCATAATAATAGCGATAATGATAATACTAGCAACAGTAATTATATTAGTAATGATTATGATAATGATAGCAAGAGTAATAACAATAGCAATAACACCAACAGTAATAATAACGGTGAAAATAATAATAATAATAATAATGATAGTAATCCTGCTACTAATGAAAATAATAATTATTGTAATTTATCCTTACAGTTTGGTATTTAACTTAAATTCCTTTGCTTCTGGTAACACTGTACAACACCAGGTTTCTTGCAGTTATAAGCTGACGAAATTTAAGACCTTTTTTTTAAGGCTTTTTTAAGACTCATACCAATTGCCTTTTAAGCTGAATACATACTTCCCATAATGTGATAGGCCTACTTGTATCGGTGAGAAAGAAATTCATACCATGATTTTTAAAGAGCCTCTCCGGGTAGATTGCGCGCCAGAATGACACACACACACACACACACACACACACACACACATACATTTTTTTTTTTTTGCACACAGCCTATAAGTAAACAGTTGCGTCGATCTGCAAAGATCAAGATCTAATGTATATAAGCGATTTTATGATCAAATCGCGTAAAGAGTGGATAAGAGATATGTACATTTACGCCAACGAAAGAAGTGTCTTGAGCATATTTCAGATCTTAGAAGAAGATCCAATAAAAGAATTCAATGTCTTGTAATTCTGAAATAATCAAAATCAAAAGTTTTTGTATTAATTGTTATATGCCCTAAACTTTGAAAATTATATTCCATGTGACTGCGTACTTGATGTCAATAATTTATCATCATCATTGTTATAACAAATGCAATGATAATCGTAATAATATTAATAATAGGTTTGATGATATTAGTAAAAATTATAATAATAATAGCAATGATAATGACTATAATAGTGATAACGATGATAGTGATAATGAAAATAACAATGATAAGAGTAATCATATAAACATAATGATGATCATAACAAAAATAAACGATAACGATAATGATGATAAAAATAACAATAACAATGATGTTACAACTGATAATTACAATAACAATGATACTACAACTGATAACTACAATAACAATGATACTACAACTGATAATTAACAACATTATTGCACAGCTGATGGAGTCTGTCCTCTGAAACCTTCCGTCTGCTCAGCCGTCAGCACAAGACGTCGCAAGAGAGTAAGTCAGACTGATTTTGTAGTTTTCAAGACTTTGATGTCAGGCAAATGAAGTCAGAGTTGATCAGGGTCAGAAGAGGTCAAAGTTGATGAGGGTCAGATGAGGTCAAGGTTGATCAAGGTCAAGTGAAGTCAAAGTGGATCAGGGTCAAGTGAAGTCAAAGTTTATCAGGGTCAGATAAGGTCAAAGTTATATAGGAGTCAAATTCAGTAAATGTTAGATTAGGTCTAGAATTAATTTGAA